AGCCGGGGATGGGGCTGTGGGGAGAGGAAGGTGCCCGGCCCGGTTCTCGGGTTTTCTCAAGGGCTGTGTTGCCGAGCAGTTGGCCTGCCCGGCAGGCCGACCCGGCCTTCCGCGGCGCGGCCTGAGCCCAGGGCCGGGCCTACCCCGTGGGAGCGTGTTACTGCCGGTGGAGGTACCGTCCGCCTGTGGTAACTCTTTGCGTGATCCTGTTTGCGGAAAGTGCTGCCTGAGGAGCGTCTTCAGGAAGCGTTCGTCTTTGGGAAGGGAAGAGACATTGTCAGGGGGCGCGGCAGCTTCACGGAGGAGGCTGATCCGAGGCGCCTCGGAACTGATAGGAATCCCCTAAAATACGGGTGAAAGTATCCGCCATTAATGGCAAATAGGTTATAGGAAAACACGCAAATAAACAGCCAGTGTGACATGCAACCTCAAAAAACACCCATTGAGTTAGTGCAGAAGGTTTTCTTCTGGATCTCGACAACAGATTGGGTCTGTCTTGAGGTGACAGCTCTCAGGGGTGCTTGGCTTCACCCCTCTCTGCGGAGAGCGGAGCCGTGTGTTGCTGTTGCCGTAAGGAAGCATTGTGATTGGTGTGTTTGTGTGAAGGAATAGAACGGTGGCATGTTTCTGAGGAAAAGGTGAAAATAGAGAGTGCAGCCTTCCAGGGAGGTAAACCAGTAGAGTCAGTGAGGTAAGGGTAGGATGTCAATGAAATTCCATTACGTTTCCTCTGCAGCTTGGGAGCGCTGAAGTGCGCTTCAGTATAAAAAACTTCAAAGTAGTTTTGCATGTCTTTATAACAGCATCAATTCCAGTTGTCACTGCTTCAGTTTCAGATACAAGCACTATGTTCCGATATCTTTGCAGCTTCAGCAAGTGCTCTTGGTTTGGCATTTGGTAGCTGTAAACTTTTCGAGGCACATATGCTGCAAGTCCGTCTGGTAATAATGTAGGATTGTAGAAAAGAGGCTATTAGTGAACTCTCTGAAGCTCTCTGATGTGCAGAGTATGAGTAAGCATGCGCAAAAAAAGTGTAGTCAATGCTGTGTGCCAGCTCTTTATTTGCTCTTGACATTGCATCATACAATTGTAGAATAATTTAGCTTTGAAAGGACCTCTGGTGGTCAACTAGTTCAACTCTCTGCTTAAAGCAGTGTTATTGTCAAAATTAGAGCAGATTGCTCCAGGCCTTTTCTGGTTGAGCTTTCTCTTGAAGGATTTAAAGTAGAGTTGAAAGTTGTTTCTGAAACTTAGCCAGATTTGGAGCTAAGCATGCCAAACTTTGGAAAGTTAAAAAGTTTTAAGCAGACAGGAATAAGGAGTATTTTGACAGAGCATCTCCCTAAAGCATCAGGGCTTCCCATATGTCTCACAGATTCAAGTCTTCATAGCTATTGGGTGCATCTCTACATTCACATTGTATGTTTTCAAACATGCTTTTCTCTGAAGCTGATTATGAAGCACACAATAGTGATATTTTTCATCTGTTCTTAAGTTACTTCATTAATGTTTTATGTCAGCTTTTCATTCTGCATTATAATTCACAGTGTTTTCCAGCCTTTGAGAGATCAATAATTAGAATCCTTTAAGTTTCAGATATCTGAACTAGGTTGGTATTATGTGTTACTCCACATATTCAATTCTGCTCTCTGATTGCAGAATCTGTCAAGACCTGCAGCAAAACAACTCCACAGAAAGAAGCACCTTCAGAGCAAAGATGAACACCGGGAAAGCTTACAGTACCAGTGATGTCAGCAATGGAACTGATCTAGCTATTGGCTTTACTTCCTCCACAGTAGCCGTCCTTCTGTTTGGGACAAACTTTGTGCCTGTTAAGAAATTTGATACTGGGGATGGTAAACTTATTTGGATTCTTTTGTTGGTATTGGTATTTTTGTTACTAGAAATAATATTTTACCAGGAAATAGGAGAGTTTCTATAGCTGGAGTTATAAATATCAACACAGCCTTAATCCATAGAGCATGTTTTGATTTTCTTTGCTACTGTTAGGGTATAAAGTAATAGTGAATTGGCTCAGGAGGAGCCTTTTTAATGTGTTGTTGAGCACTTTAACAGCAGTGATGTATGTTTCCTGAGCATTTGGCAATAGAAAGTGAAGTGTCCTTTGGTCTGACCTTCTGAGGAACCTCAAATACTTACAGTGTTATTTGTACTGCAGAAATTATTGGACTGTGGAGTATTGCCTTTCGGTTGTGGACTGAACATAAAAGCAATCAAAAATTGAAATTTTAATACTTTTATCTTGTGGCTTGATAAGAGGAAACAATTGCTTTTATTTCCTACCTGGAATTTTATCACTTTACTGTACTAGGTTCATATTGTATTTGCATGTTTATAGTCAATTACCAGATACCTAGGTGAATAAATCTGCCATTATGTTACTGCAATAGCAGAGTCTACATTATAGGCTGGATATGACTTCTCTTCTTGGTGACAAAGGTGGTTGTAACAAGGCAAGGCTAGACTTTAAAGTCTTAGCTCGGCTGGCATGGGGTTAACTGGTCTGCCTAACTGACCCTTAGAGAATCTACAAAGCTAGAAGTGATCTGTCCAAAGTTTTCATCATCCTCAGTGTCCTGCAATAGTGGAAGAGCCTGAGCCCTGAGCTTTGAAGGAGTTCTGTGCAGTCGTCTGTGTTAGCTGTTACTAGGGTGGTGGGAGAAGTTTGCTGTAACTGAATATCCTCTCTGTCAGGAGCCTGTAAAAATTTTCTTGTGTTTGAGCATCAGGGCTTGTGTAAACTTTGTTTACAAAAAATCTCTTTTGCAGCTGTGTGTAAAGAATGTATTGTAAGGAAAAGGTTGGCAGAATTACCCTAAAAAACATCTTTTGAATATATCGTGACATGGTTCCCTAAAATGCACAGAGGAGGTTGCCTCCTTTTTTTTTTTTCCTGTACTCTTTTATCTAAACCATGGAATATTAAGAGATTCGCACATGCAGCATTCTACATATTCTCTATTGTATGCATTTCTTTTTTGTGTAGGCATGTTCTTCCAATGGATTCTCTGTGCCTCCATATGGATAGTTTCTTTGGTGGTCAATTTAATCCAGAATTGTCCCCGATTTTGGCCTTTGGCTATGGTTGGGGGTTTCCTGTGGGCTACAGGTAAGGATACAGAGATTCTGTTTTTTGGAACACAAAGCAATCCTAGCTCTTCATTAAAAAAAACTGATAAAAACTTTTCACATATGTAAGGTAGTAGCTACTTGGGTAATGGAGCTCTACCTTCATAGCAAATCTTATTTTATAAGCAGAAAATTCATGCCAAAAAAATCTGTTAAAAATGGCACTGAGGAAAAGTCTGAATTTGATGTATTTATTTTTAAAAAACTCTTTCCTACCACCTTGTAGTTGCCTAACTTTTTTTGCCATCTAAACAGTCACAGAATATAAAGCAAAAATATACAAGATCACAATCTAATTTTTAACTGATTTTATTTTCGGGTTTTTGTGTTTCAGGCAATGTTACAGTTGTTCCTATTGTTAAAACTATTGGCTTAGCTCTTGGTCTTTTGATATGGGCTTCTTTTAATTTGCTGACAGGTTGGGCAAGTTCAAGGTGAGTATATTTAAGTCTTAAGTCATACATAATTAATGTTGCCAATTCTTCATTAATAACTGCAGTGAAAACACTGTCACCAGTAAAGAGGATTTATCATATATGTAGGATCTTTTTCCCTCTCAGAGGAAAGTATTCAGGTTAATTATTTTCTTTTTGTGTTTCCTCTGTCTCATAGGAAGAATGCCCAGTGATGTTCATTAACATAACTGAGTGGATAAACAATGTATTTGTTAATGTAGAACTAGACAGTTTGTATTTTTTCTTCTACGGCATAGCCTGAAAAAATAATTTAACTTCCATTTTTAAATACCTAGTCTAAAACAATCAATGTAAATTAAATTAGTTTATAGATTATTTTCATAAAGTAGACATAGCTTTTTGCAAGCCAACTGAAGCATTGATCCAATACCGCGAATATAAACAAGCAGAATTATTTACATGAGTAAAGATTTCCAGAATTTGAAACTGGCTAAATATTCCAGGTTTGGTTGGTTTGGAATTGACCCAGAAGAGGTATCAAGACCAGTCTTGAATTATATTGGAGCAGGACTTTCACTATTAAGGTAAAAATTTATTCTTAGAATACATTTCTTTAGTGTGAAATACATACTTAATAACCATAGGAACAATATAACTAGAGGTGAAATGTGTTGAAGTATTTTTTGCAAATTGATTTACTGCAGAATTCATGATTTACTGCAGAATTCATGAGTCACTGTTGTATTTCAGAATAGGAGCATAACATGCTATCCAGTATGGTAGTGAAATGGTTATTCATAAACACAGAAATGTATGTTTGTGCTGGTAGACGTGCTCAAAGCAAAGCAGTGATGATTGTCTCCCTAGCTAAGTTAGTCAGGTGGTACACTTTCCCCAATTTTGGTGACAAAACCTCTGTGAGATTTCCGATCTGACATCAGTCAGGGCTACAAATCCGTTACATTAACTGTAGGAGATACCAGAGGGCCCCTTCCCAGATCCTCCAGCGTTCATGAAGAGCCAGAGACTTTGTGTTATCTCTTGTCTTTAATAGCTTGCCCTCTTATTTTTGGTTTATTATTTGTATGAGTACACCGAGGAAACGAGGTCTTTGTTACGTAGCAGTGTTCTTGCTTTCCAACTGGGTGACCAGGAAGTTCTCTCTAGGAAGTTCACAGTAGCCCTAAGTGCCAGGGGCAGTAGGATTGCCATAATAAGAGTGCTAAGCAGCAGATGTATCTTAATACATTTAGGAAAAGAAGGGTGCTAAGAACATGGAGACAAAGGAGCTATTCTTAACTGCTAGGAGAGAGCTCCTGTCTTAGATTCATGATTTTGCTTGCACTCTTTC